CCTTTCAGCCCACCTTCCTTCCAAGGCACTATCTCCCAGTCCCTTTTATAGCTCCTCCTTTCCCGGGACCATCTTTCCTTAAAGGGACTGGCTCATATCTGTTATAGGGGTGGGTAGTTTTAAAACAAATAAAGCAACTTAATACAATAGCTTACAAACTACAGAATAACTTTCAAACTTTTAAACCTTAATAAACTTTAATAAAGTCATGTGAGGCTTTTTATACATTTAAACTAGAAAAAATACATACATCAGTTATTTATGGCTGGCTTGCCAGTAACCTTTCCCTTTAAGTTTAGCAGTTTTTTAGTACTGCTGATGTGGCAGTGTGGAAAACTACAAACAGAAAGGTAACTGGTGGCAACAAAATACCATTCTCCAACGCAGAACACTGTATCATTCAAGTGTTTGCCCCCTTCCTGATTTCTTATTTTTTTGCATGTTTGTCACACTGATGTTTGACATGTTTGACAATGTTTCATATCATCAAACAAATTGAAATATTAGACAAAGATAATCACTTTTTCATGTAGGGCCATGTAGGTTTGGATTTTTTTTCCCCTTAATAATAAAAACCTTCATTTAAAAACTGCATTTTGTGTTTACTTGTGTTATCTTTGTCTAATATTTCAATTTGTTTGGTGATCTGAAACATTTCAGTGTGACAAGCATGCAACAAAATAAGAAATCAGGAAGGGGGCAAACACTTTTTCACACCACTGTATCACACTCATAAACATACAGGAAGGGTATAGGAAAGGTATTGGAGTTTTTTACATTCATTTGGAAAAAAAAAACAAGCACGCTTCCACACATATATAAAAAAAGAGGCCTTACTGTACAGTTGCGTATTATAAGTATTGGAGCAGATACGAATCTGTACTATAAGGGTTTTTCTTTAAGGACACCACACTTTCACCACAACAATGCCGCAATAATTATGACAATGTTTTTGATTTCTAGTATGATTTATAATAATTTGTGTGTTAATTTATTTCATACAGGTTTTCACTCAGCAATTATTATTCATATGTTGGAAACACTTCTGGTTTGTTTAGTTTCGCTTTCTCTGCAAATTATAACATCAGTAATTTTAATTATTTGTTGTTGATAAATATATATAGTATACTCTTTGTTTCTTTGTAGTGTAATGGAATGAAATGCTTTTAGTTTTTTTAATTTAACTTATCCAATCAGAGTGACACATTGTCAGCTGAGTGGTAGAAGTTTCGCCTACCACATGGAAGGCCTGGGTTCGATTCCCAGCCAATGCGCAAGTTGTACTTTTAACTAGTTGTCCCTTGGGGATGAAGAAACATTAAAATGTCAGAGTCCAGGTGTTGGTGAAAGAAGAGCTGTTTATTCGTATGCATACGGGAGATCAGCTTGCAGAACCTAGTTTTCCCGAAAGACATTGCTCAGCACTTTTTATACACAGTGACAGACAGACTTCCTACCTTTAACATAGATTACCTAATCCCTAATCATTAGTTTTTTATTCAAGCTCCTTATTAAGACATTCGTTATTGCTTACATTCGCAAAACAAGACATTATTCGACTTCCCTTTTTACTCTTTTTAAGACATGAGCTGTACTTTTCCACTGAGCTATAGATGCCTCCTGGTATGTTTCCACTTGCCAGGGTTATAAATAGTTAGGAAGCTAAAAGACAAGCAGTTTGTTAGCTTTTATAAAATGTATAACATTCCTTCAGGGATAATTAAAACTATCAAGTCATAAAATATGTACAGTGCCTTCAGAATGTATTCACCCCCTTGTCTTTTTTCACATTTTGTTTCTGTTATGCCTCCAGATTTGAACAAATTGAAATATTTTTTTCTCCCTTCAATAATTGTATTCAAGTTTGGGCTCTGGCTGGGCCATTCCAGAATACTAACCTTTTTTTCAAGCCATTCCTTGATAGTTTATGCCATGTGCTTTGGGTCATTGTCCTGCTGGAAAATGAATCTTCGCCCTAAACGCAGATCTCTGGCTAACTGAAACAGGTTCTCCTCAAGGATCTGCCTGTATTAAGCTCCATCCATGTTGCCCTTGATGGCAACAAGCTTTCTAGTTCCTTCTGTTGAAAAGCAACCCAATTGCATGATGCTGCCACCACCGTGCTTGACAGTAGGGAATGTGTTACCTGGGTGTTGGGCTGTATTTGGTTTGCGCCAAACATAGCACTTTGCTTTCAGGCCAAAGAGATCAACTAGTCTCATCAAGACCACACCATTTTCTTCCAAAAGGTTTCAGGTTTTGTCACATGGCATCTTGCAAACTCCAGGCATGACTTAATGTTGGCCTTTCTCAGAAGTGGCTTCCTTCTAGCCACTCCCCCAAAGAGGCAAAATCTGTGAAGTGCTGAAGAGATTGTTGATGGACAGTTTCTCCCATTTCCGCCAAAGACCTCTGCAACTTTGTCAGTGTTGTAGCTGGCCACTTTGACAATTGCCTTTCTTGTCCGGTTGCTCAGTTTGGTAGGATGGCCTCATCTTAGTAGTGTGTGGGTTGTGTCATGTTTATTCCATTTTGTTACAATGGACTTCATGGTGCTCCTAGGAAGGTTCAAAGCTTTGCCAATTTTTTTATAACCTTCTCCAGCTTTTTTCCTCCTAACAACTTCATCTCGAAGTATCACGGGTAGCTCCTTGGTTTTAGTTAAAGCAGGACTGATCTGATCTGTTGTTTTAGTTGAGACCTCACAAAGTCAGTGATATTTATTGTTCAATCAAGCAATTGAACACAGGTGTATTTTGTGTGATCTCTCAAGATAATTGAATATACTCACCCAATTTAGGTTGTTAAAACAAAGGGGGTGAATACTTATCAATTAAGTAATGTTCAGATTTTTATTTTTAATATAATTCTGAAGACATTTAAAAATACTTTATTTCATTTTAACAGAGAGAGTTACTTCTACAGGAGTGGAAAAAATCCCTTTTAAATATGCTTTAATTTGACTTTGCAACAGCAGAATGAGAAATAATCTGAGGGGTGAATACTTTCTGAAAGCACTGTATACTATATTGACATTTTAATTAAATCTGTATGTCAGTATGTTAACTATAAAATTAATATTAATAATAAAAGGAACAAAAAGGTTTATTCCATGCTGAAAAGAGAAGAAAGAAAACAACTTTTCGGCCATGGAGCCTTCATCAGGTGTTAAAATAATGTCGATTTTCTCAATGCTGTATATTAATGTTACGTATCAATGTTACTTTACAATATGTAAGACAAATTATGCTGTGAATATATAATGTTAGATTTATTCTAAATAAAATTATTATTATTAATTTATTCTAAAATCATTTATTCTAAAGTCATAAACATTGTTAAGTCCTATAATTTCTCTGTCCCCTGCTCAAAACACTGCTAAGGTGTCTTTATCATGTAAATGGACCTAGAAACGTGGCTGACAACAGTGGCGTAGCCAGGATTTTATATCTGGAGTTGCAGGGACACCAGCATAAAACAGTGATCCCAAGGTTGGTGCAAGCAACAATATTTAATAAAATCTAGGTGTGTCGCTATTTGACAAAGCAATTTGAGCACAGAATGTAACACAGTGTGCAAAGTCATTCAAATCAAATATGTTTATTTGCTTTTAAATATAATACAATATTGTATGGTTTTAAAGCCACTACAGTATCTTTTGAAGGAAAGCACAACAACGCTAGGTGTGGTAACATAAAGAAAATGGCTACAAAAAACAAATTATATAAGCATTTTAGATTATAATGACAAAATATTATGCATAGTGGCTTTAATGAGAAGTATTTAATTTTTTTTTATTTCATTACATTTTCTGTTTAAGGGCATATTTCAATTCTCTTACTTTCTCTGAGCATCTGGTTTTATTTACTGGTGTCCTCCCCATGGCACTTAACACTTTATTCCAACTCTATCATATCAAAGTTCATTCATGTCATTACTTAACTTCTTATCAATTTTATTTTAATATTTTAAATACCAAGCTATATGGAACTAATAAAAATGTGGGTATTGTATACATATTTATTTTATTGTCAGAGACAGTCTTTATAATGCTTCAGGGGCAATTTGTTAAACAATTTGTATATTGGCCAGGATATAAACCTTGACCTCCCAAGTGGCAGTTGAGATTCTACCACTGAACCACCAAAACATAATTTTTCTTGCTAAAAGTTGCAAACATTGCTTCTATTTTCTGCAAGTGTTTTCCATTACAATAATGACGGCAAGTGTTCATGGGAAATATGGTTAAATGAACAAATAAAAAAGCAGAAAATATTTATGAAGAAGGTGGAATACTGCTAGACTGTTGTCTACCTTATTTTCCTAAAATGTAATTAATGACATTCAGAAATGTTATACTTTATTTTTCTTTTCAACTGCAAAAATGTCCCTTTATTTTCATGATGCCATATTAATATTCCATATTAAGTGGTTTTAAAGTAGTATAACATTAAATCAAGGTAAGGTTTCACTAAGATTTGACACACCACAAAGGTCACCTATCCGTCGTCTTTGGGCAGTGAAAAGCTAAGTTTGGCATGCTGAATAATAACTTGGTACAACAGTTAAAAAATGACGTGGCTGGATCTGTATTTGTGGTAGTACAGATAGGCTGTCTGAATGTTAATATCTCGGTGCATGCACTTCATATAGATCTTCTGCACCGTTGAAAGCTCCATTGCATTGCAAGTGTCCACGTCCTGGTTCCTAAAGAGAACTAGATAAGGCCTGTAGAGCACTTATCTGCTTCTTCTGTGTAGCTGCTATGTGAGGTATCAGAGTATCAAAAAGGTTTTAATTTAAATGATTTACTGATTTACTGATTCCAATTTTGCCACTTTTACTGTAGAGCTGGTTAGACTAGTTCAGTCCATCATAATTCATATACAAGTTCAAATATCACAGTGTTATAAAATGCTTATTTCTTTTTTAGGAATCTAGAGAATCTGTAATACAATGAGTAGCTGCATTATTAACATGAAGATTTTTTTTTCTCCCAGACAATAATGAATAGAGCCTTCTCTTCAGGTCTGTAAGCAATTGACATCTTCCCAGGCTGTGATGAGTGAAAGAGTGGGCTTGCACAGGTTTTTGGAGCACAGCTACTGGAAAAGTGGGTCAAGCATGTAATGGATGCATGGTAAATTACTGGTTCACAGCAGATCTTTTGTAGCATCTTCGAATTTTTTCTCATAATTATTTTTCTTTTTCTTATCGCAATCTTTCTAATGTGGAAGCATATAATGTAGTACATAACCAAGTGTAACTTTTGATGGGTAAATATAGACATGTAGTCAACATTAAATACTTCACCAGTAAACAGAAATCAACCTGTAAATTATTTGACTCTGAAAAAGAGGAAAAACAGTTGTACCTGATATTCTTGATAATTAGGATTATGAAATCATGAGCCTTCTGTGTAATCTTTCTATTTGACCTTTTTTAAGTAATCAGGTCAGATTCACGAGGCAGCAAACCCTTTCATTCTCAAATGTGTACACTTCTTGTTCTATCCGATAAACCACTTTTTCAAAGTTTATTCATACTTTTTTTTATTCACTTAACTTGAAAATTATTTAAAAGACAGTCTACTTTGAAGGAATCAAAACGTGTGCAATGATAAGGTTTCAATTACAGTTGACTACATGTGATAATAGGAATGTTGTATAAAATTAAAAACAGCAAGGTATTTACATTTTAGTAAAATCGAGATTTTAAAGTGCTCTTTTTCGTTAATATAAATGCTGATATGTATCAATCTTTAAATGTAAAATAAATGCTTACCTTTTACTAGCATTTTTGATTTTTGTATTTTCTTTTGCTTGGAATAGTTGAGCTACTGTGAAGTTTAGAAGTCTACAAGTTATCAGTTCATTATTGGTTTAGAGATAGATAGATAATACTTTATTAATCCCGTAGGGAAATTGATGTGTTACAGCAGTCCAGCCCAAGACAAGCAAAACAGACATCAGAATAGTTATAAAACA